CCCCCCTCAGGAGAGCGGCCCCGCGCCACTGCCGCCTCTGCCCCGGGACTATTGTCCCCTCACGGGACTCCCGGCTTCGCGCCACCGTCCCGTCCCTCCGGCTGGGTCCTGCGCTGCCATTAGCTCCGTCCCGTCGGCTCCGCATTCGGCTTCCTTCCCTCACGGGTCTTCCCTCTCGGCCCTTTTTCCCTCCTCGCGCCCTCCACTGTCGCGATTCCCTCAGCCCCGACTTCCCTCCACCCCGCTGTTTGTCGGTCTCCTGTTTTGATAAGAGCCCTTCCAGCTGTGACACCTCCCTCCCACCCCAAGGCATGTTCAACCCATATCGGCCTGCAGCACCTCGCACACAGCCACCTCACGTTTCCAAATCGCCAACGGCCCTCCTCTCCCTGCCCTGGAACACCCATCCTTGCACCTTCCTTCTCTCCTTCGTCCAGATCACGCTGCTCCAGACCGTGCACTTTCCAGAAGTTTATGACCCGGCAGACTTCCTTCACGCCAGCCCTCCGGTCCTTCTTCACAACAGGTGTTTTACTTCAATTTCTCCTTCTGAGCTGCATTTTTTTCTGTCAAACTAGTCCTTTTTCAGTATCTCTGTTTGTCACTCAAGTGCTTTCTCTTCTTGACCTCCCTACTATTGCTCAAATGTTTTTGTGATGGTTTTATTTTACAGAGATCAGAACTGTAAGGCCCAAAACAAGCTATGTAAAATGTCACTGGTAATTCCTCCTCCTCTGCAGACATCTTTGTCAACTACTGTGCGTCTGCAGATTAGTATAAGTGGTTGATCGATGTACATCTCTGACATTTCTCTGCCCTGAATTGTACATTATAGACATCGAAGTGCTCGAGTTGCTGGCAGAGCCATGATTTTCCCCCAGGTTTTACAGTTTGAATTACATCACCTGTGAAATGGGGTGTTCTTTTGTATTCCACCTCTTGTAAATAGGCCAAACCCATCTGAAACAATGCCAAATCTGTCAATTTTCTGGGCATGCCACAAGGGCAGGCATACTTTTTTTTGTTTGTTGTTATCCTGTATGATTTAATTTTTATCTATCCCAATTACTGTTAAATTGCTTTCAACTGCAGCCTCACATCCTGTTGTCTTTAAATTCCTCTGCGCCATGTTTCTGGGACATGACATGGGGAGTCTCAGGAAAACCCTGTGGTGACTCGGTGGTTACTGAGGTAGAAATTAGTCTGTATGTGAGGAAATGGCATGTCACTGCCCCAAACCAAGCAGAGCGGGATTCTCACCCCATCCAGGGGTCGAAGCCCGCCGGCCAGCCCGCTCGCCTTCTGGCCCGCACAGCGCCTTCGCCCCGTGAAACTACAAATCCCAGCATGCCTTGCGCCGCCTCCCGAGGGGCTGCTAAGGCGGGAACGCGGCTGTCCCCGCGCGGTGAATGCCGGGAGTTGTAGTGTCGGGGTGGGGACGGGCGTGCGAATACGTGACGTCTGGACCGCCCTTCCGGGAGCACGGCGGGGATTCGTTCCCCTTCATCGCGAGACCAGCTGCATTTCAAACGGGCCAATCAGAAGGTTGCTATGGCTCGAACTG